AATCAATGGGCCTGCAGCTCATCGCACACTCTCCACCTTCGGCGCCGCCGCCTCTTCCCGTCGTCGGCCATGGAGCTCGATCGCAGAAGCCTCCGCGTCCTCTATCTCCTCGCGCTCATAATACTCGTCTCGCCCTCTAGCTCCGGCGGCGGCGGCGGCGGCGACGGCGACGGCGGCGACGGCGACGACTCGATCGTCGCCAGATTCCAACGCTACCTCCGAATCAACACCGCCCAGCCGAACCCCGACTACTCCGAATCCACCGGTTTCCTCCTCTCCCAGGCCGAGTCCCTGTCGCTCGAGGGGCGGGCCATCGAGTTCGTCCCCGGGAAGCCCGTGGTCCTCCTCAAGTGGCCCGGCTCCGACCCCTCCCTCCCCTCCGTGCTGCTCAACTCGCACACCGACGTCATGCCGGCCGAGGACGACAAGTGGTCCCACCCCCCCTTCGCCGCCCGCGCCGACGCCGAGGGCCGGATTTACGCCCGCGGCTCGCAGGACATGAAGTGCGTGGGGATGCAGTACCTGGAGGCGATCCGGAGGCTCAAGCGCTCGGGGTTCGCGCCGCTCCGCGACGTCTATCTCTCGTTCGTGCCCGACGAGGAGATCGGCGGGCACGTCGGCGCCGCCAAGCTCGCGGAGTCCGATGAGTTCAGGGACATGAACGTCGGCATTGTTCTCGACGAAGGTAGATTGATTCTCTCTGTTCGAGCTTATCAAGGTTGTGATTTTTTCGTCGGGGCGAAAGTCGTGTCATTTGAAATCAAATAGGGGATGTCATTTGACATCCGCAAATGAAACCTTTGCGAGAGTTTTATAAATTACTCAGTGCATACATGGAGTAGATGGAAAAATAGTGTACACTTTAGTGCATATCGAGTTCTTGCCTATGTTGGGGTGTTAAAATGAGAAGCGGTTGTCGATTCTTCGAATGTAGGGTTGGCGTCGCCAACGGAATATTATCGGGCATTTTATGGACAGAGAGGCCGGTGGTGGCTGGTGATCAAGGCAACTGGAGCACCTGGACATGGTGCAAAGCTGTCCGATAATACCGCAATGGAGAACTTGCTGAAAAGCATCGAGAGTGTGAGGAGATTCAGGGCTTCGCAGTTCGATATGGTGAAAGCAGGTTTGAAGGCTGAAGGAGAGGTTATTTCAGTTAATTTGGTGTTCCTCAAGGCTGGCACTCCTTCTCCCACTGTAAGTTCTTTTCTCTATCATGAGCAGCAGAGCTTATGCTTCGATGCGTCGGTGTCATTAGTCGGTTTGGCTCTCGAATGAATTTGGAGAGATCACTTGATGCTGCATTTACACTCGCAAATGCAAGTTTAAGTCCAATGCCTGATAATTAGTTATAAGCTTCACATTTTTTGGCTGTATTTATTACCTTTAGTTTCTTTATTTATTAAAGAATTGCCATGTCCTATCCCTTCGTTTTTATGGAAAAGACCATGAAAATTACTCCTGGTCCCATAGAAAGTGCGTGGACATCTCATTGTCTGTGTGCTGCTATTTGTTCTTCTATGGTGTCATCTAAGATCCTGCAAAACTTTTTCCATGACCGTGTTCGATTGTACTTGTTGGCTTGCTGCTATTGCCCATAGATAGGATCACAGAGAAAAGATTAATGCCCGATAGGACAATAAGTTGTCTGAGTGACATTCTCGCTAGCGACTTTGGTAACAATTGGACATTCAACAATATGTACTTTTTATAGAAGGTGTTGCTTGGTTGGACATATCCTCCACTTGAGGGTTTTGCTTGAAGACAAGCTGATGCATCCTTTTGTTTGATTTCTGTTTTCTCCCAGGGTTTTGTCATGAACTTACAGCCATCGGAAGCTGAAGCGGGTTTTGATGTCAGGATCCCACCAACTGCTGATCCTAAAGCTTTAATGAGAAGGTTAGCAGAAGAATGGGCACCTATCACACGCAATATGACATTTGAGGTAGGGGTCGCTTAACAGTTTTTCTCTTAATAACATCTCTGTGCTCAAGGAAGCTCAAAAATCCTTGTTTGTCAGTATTGTATCTACTGTAATAACTTTCTGATTGGATTTTATGTGTGCAGCAAGCTTTACAGATTTTTCTTTTTCCCAATTGCAAAATCGATATGACATGAAAAGAAAAAAACAAACTCTTTTATGACTTCTAAAGGAAGAAATTGGTCCCCTTTTCCTCGTAGCGACGTTGATCAGCGTGCGCGAATGAAAATATGGTTGCAAATAGTTTACGATGTTAAGGATGGAAAGAGTGCATGCTATTACTGTGCATACCTTGTGGCTTAGATAACGAGAGGAACAGTTATTGGGTCCTAGAATCGCTTGAAATGTTAATGTCCTTTATTTTACTGCACAAAGATCTAGATATCCCTTGAAGTACATGCAAACCTCTTTGCAAGCTATGACTTTTAATTTTGGTGTTACCATACAATAATTCCACACTGGGAGGATGGTTTCATTTCTCGATATGAGGATTGCTATGGCCCTAAATGGAGATTTCTGCATAAAGTCGTTTAATTTTGGCCAGTTACTGCTCTTTCATTTTGTCAGGCACGAGCTCCTGAGAGGTAAGATACAAATGAGGCCTGCTCAACCGTTGTGTTGGTCACGACCAAAAATAAAAAACCGACATGTTGGTGGTAGAGCTGTAGAACAACAGCATGGTCCTGCTTTGAAGCACTCTTTATCGTGGATATACTAATGCGTTAATCTGTAGTCGATCTACTTATGCATATTGGCTTGATGGGACTGAATATTGCAAGTGTAGAGTCTGACCAATTTCTGAGTTTTGGGCAGTTCAAGGATAAGATTTCTCCGCACGACAAATTTGGAAATCCAATCCTCACCGCCACAGACAGCTCTAATCCCTGGTGGGCATTGCTGGAAGAGGCTGTCAAAAAGGCTAATGGAAAGCTCGGGAATCCCGAGATATTTCCTGCTTCAAATGATGCTCGCCACTTCCGGAATCTGGGTTTGCCGGCAATTGGCTTCTCGCCCATGGCTAATACTCCTGTCCTGCTTCACGTCCATAATGAGGTGAAGTGCAGCATCGGGCTTGTTCTCAAGTCCCTTTGTCTTTTTACCTTGCTCATGGTTACCTTTACAATGCTTATCAATTTCCCTTCCGTTTGCAGTTCCTCAGCAAAACCGAGTATCTGAAAGGAATTGAAATCTACGAGTCCATAATTAAGGCCTACGCATCATATGCCGGACCACCGGGAGATGGAGGCTCCAAAGACGAGTTATGACGACCCAGCTGCGAACCTCTGACATTCGGATGAATTGCCGGGGCCCTGATCTCCATCTCTCTCTCGTGCTTGTAATGTAATAGCCGAATAAAGTCGAGAGAGAATATGTCGACAACCGGCCCCATCAGTTGACTGAGAACATAGGGCCGGACCTCCGCCGTCGCGCCAAGCACATGTTGTAGAATAAACTTCCAACAGACCTTCTTGTGGCAGTGCTTTCCTATGAGTAGTTTATGACATCTCTCTGGTTATATATCCTCATTCCCTGGAATCGCTTCTCAGTATTCACGAAACCAGGACAATTGTGAAATCATTAGTCCGACTCGGACACAACACGAACCCGCTCGCCGTCCATTTCGGATCACGATCGATTGTACCTTTACTTTTATTTCATTCTTCATTCTTTATTTTCATTATATTTTTTTAGCCGCGAGGCATTTAAATGGTGGAAACTATACATATAATCTTTCATAATTCTTAAAAGAAAAAAATGTACGTTTTTTTTTTATGTGGAGGTTTTACGGATGGATGGCACGTACGCTAGCCAAAAAGAAAGAAAGGAAAAAAGAACGAACCGAATTGGGAGGGGCTTTGAAGGAGAGGAGCCAACCTAAACCACACATACTCGAATTGGCAGCCCTCACCCAGTGCCGGCGAGGGCTCGCCGGCTTCCCTCTGCCATGGCCGGCAGAGGGAAGAGAGAAGAAAACGAAAAAAAAAAGGAAAAAAACAGAAAAAGGAAAAAGACGAAAATGTCCATGGGTCAAAGTACTGTGGGGTAAATGTGTCACAAGTGGCATAGTTTGGGATAAATTTATCACAAGTGGCATAGTTTGGGATTTTTCGTGTCACATAAAAAAGTTCAGAGTAAATTTGTCACAAGTGGCATAGTTTGGGATTTTTGATGGTATTTTCCCTAAAAAAAAAATTATGTGTTGAGTTTGTGGTCAACATTTAAAAAAAAATACAATTCAAAGTCTAAAAATTCATATGCTACTTCATATTTTCAACTTAAAATGATTTCTGGTGTTACATTAAATATAAATTAGAGCCAATTCGGCTGCTAGGCGTGTAAATGTTGTTCGGTGATTACGTATGAAAAGAAAATGGCAATTATTTTAAGGAAGCGCGTGCCCAAACTATAAGAGATATGTCAATGCAATCGTAGTTTAAGCGGAAGTAGCTGCCCATTAAAAATTGTCAAGAACATAAAATTTCTGACAAAAAAAAAATACATAAAATTGCCATGCTAGATTTTGTTGTTGTAAGAATCACGTAAGCCTTGAGGATATTATAATGAATTCGGAGTTGGACAGGAAATTTGAAAGTTCTCTTTTCATAACGGTATATACAAAATTACGTGAACCGTCGAATTTACACAAAAAGTCAAAAAGTGAAGATGAGATGGATAATTATCATGTCTACATAAAGATTCTTACATATTTCTTTGGATGAGCGCCGCATACGTTTGAAGTCCAGCCGTTCGTTCGATGAAAAATGAATGATTTTTAGAAAAATTTCGTCCGTATCTCTTTAAATAATTAGTCAATAAGAGATTATTTCCATTATTAAGAACAATTTACATGTTGATACTTTTGTGACGATGAAAATATTTTTTGAAAATTATTTTTGTAAATAGTATAAGGAACAATTATAAATATTTTTTTTTCCCGATTGAAAAGTTCACTCAAGAAAAACCTAGGAGGTTTGCCGTAAAAGCTGAAAAATCTTAGGACATCTCTCTTTCTCTCTCTCTCTCTTTCTTTCTTTCCAGTTCCGTAGAAGAAAACGCAGAGCAGCCGCACAAGCTGGGCGGAGGAGTTGGTGGGATTATGGCGACCGAGATCGAAGGAGCTCCGCCGGCGGCGGCGGCGGCGGCGAAGCAGCCGCACAAGCTGGAGCGGAAGTGGACGTTCTGGTTCGACAACCAATCGAAGCCCAAGCAGGGCGCCGCCTGGGGGACCTCTCTCCGCAAGGCCTACACCTTCGACACCGTCGAGGATTTCTGGTGGTACGCCTCCGTCGGTCTCGATCCCCATGTCCCGTCCCTTCCTTCGCTCCTCTGTCATGTTGGCTTGTCGTGCCGTCGCTTCCGGCTGAATTTTTTTGCGTGTTCGTGCCGCTGTTCTTAGGGCTTGTTAGGATGTGATGTGGGGGGTATCTGGCCTGATGGGGTGGTGGATTGGAACGTCTCGGTTTTTTGGGTTCCTGTGGGATAGAAGGGGTGCTTTTGGATCTGCTGATATATGAGTTGTGCTGCTGGTATGTAGTTAGTAGTTGGGTGCCTTCGCAATTCGTGATCCGGTCGTGCTTCCTGATGATTGTGAACATGCGGTGGTTGTGAGGCTGAAAGGGCGAAAGATTATTTCAGGAGAAGTTCTGGGTTGAGATGATGATCTAAAAGGGTTACTCCTGGGCTTCCTTTGGAGTTAGGACTAATGGTTCCAAGTGTGTAAATGAAAAGGAAGGATAAGAGAAGGAGATCGGTAGGAAATCCGAATCCTGCGGGCTCAGTTTGTTTTACTTCTGTCAATGCTGTTAAGGTTTATGATATCCAAAATGACAGGAAAACTGCAGGGTGGACTTCTGACTTGAATTGTCAACTCAAGGAGATTTGTTGAAAGATAAAGAGTCGTATTTTCGACTTGCAAGAGTAGAATGATACTTACTCAACCTTGAGCTCAGCTTAAATAATGTGCCCGCTGGAGATTGGCCTTGTATTTGTTCAAATATATTTTGCGTGACTGACTATTTGTTGAAATTGCTCTCTTCAGTAACTGAATACAATTGCTTTTTTCTGTGACCGTTGCTTTGCCATTGTCCGATACTGTTGTATGATGCCTTTCAGCAGCAATGTGCCCTTCTGTTTTGTTTGCATTGTTATTCAGTTTTTTCTTTAAAAGCCCAAAGTAATTTCTTATAATCAAGGTGTCTGCCTTACAAGAGCTTGTCTTTCACACTTCTACCAATATTGACATTTCCCAAAGTTCATACAAATTTTCATCTATTGAATGGTTATTTAAGTGAGTTAACTATTTTCTTGTAGTTTGTACGATCAAATCTTTAAGCCAAGCAAGTTGCTCGCGAACGCTGATTTTCACTTATTTAAAGCCGGCATTGAACCCAAATGGGAAGATCCTGAGTGTGCTAATGGAGGAAAGTGGACTGTTACCAGCAGCAGAAAGGCTACCCTTGATACAATGTGGCTTGAAACAGTGAGAAGCTTTTGAGTGACTTTCCTATTAATTCATTCTCTTTACCTTCTACAAAACCTATTGAATAATTCAGTGAACTGGGAAAAGGAACAACATATATGGGTTTTCACATGTTCAATAATCTTGAATAGTAGACTTATAGTAAACCTGGTTAATCTGTATATCTTTGCAGTTGATGGCTTTAATTGGAGAGCAATTCGACGAGGCAGATGAAATCTGCGGGGTTGTTGCTAGTGTGCGCCAAAGAGGGGACAAACTCGCTCTGTGGACAAAGACAGCTTCAAATGAGGCTGTACAGGTACATATTCTATCTAAAATAAACTCAAGTAATCAGTTCCACCTCTCTGGGGCCTGTTCATTGATCAACATGTTTTGTTGTGATTCTCTCTTACCATATTATGAAAACTATGAAGTGAAGATCTCTCTTTGATCTTTCCTTCCTGTCAATATGTACAGATTTTTGTAAATGTTCATGTTGTCATGTATCTGATTGATTGTGTAGCTCATAAGTTATTTCCAAAGAGGTCAGCATCTCCTTGGCTCTGCCAATATTATCCTTTCTGATCCTCAGAAGAAAAAGAAAATTACAAGCTCTTTCTTTGTTAGAAATTGATGGCTTTACCGATTAGTTCATGTCACCATCTCCTTGGCTCTGCCAATATTATCCTTTCTCATCCTTAGAAGAAAAAGAAAATTACGCTCTTTTCTGTATCAGAACTTGATGTCTCTACAGATTAGTTCATGTTTTATAAGGCTAAAGATCTGTTTAGACAGTTTGAGAGTCCCACTGCTGTTCTTTCCTGTAACTTTTCCACCTACCTCATAAAAGAAACCTAGAACGGGAAAAGATACTGGGATTTGAAGCTTCATGATAGTGGTCATTCTATTTGGGGGCTTAGCAAATGAACACCTATGTTCTACCAGATGATCACTTGTGCTTCTCGCCGAGACAACTTTCTTTAACAGTGATTATGGTCGTTCAATGAGCATTAGATTCGAAATATCAAGTCTCTTTGATAAGTGCAGTCGAGCCATAGTGATGTCTTTCCTTACATGAATTGATGTGCTGGCTTTCCTCCATCTAAGTCAACATCATATGGTACAAATGTGGTCGGTGAGGTGTAGATTTTTAAAACTAGTCCTTTATAAGCAGCCAATGTGTACCTGCTGTCCTTCTATGAGTTAAATCTCGTCAAGCCCCTGCACCAATAATGTTGTCTGATTCACAGTGATTATGCTATGGCAATGCAATTTAAGTTATTTTTTCTTCCATGGACTTGTAACTTGGATCTGGTTTCAATTGCCAAACCTGGGACCTGAAGCTGGTAAATGTAGTTAGATCCACACTTCATAGCCTATTTTCTGGGGATTTGTGAAGTACCTTTGCATTATATTACCTATTACCAAATCATCATTCAAGGTTGCGGATGAATCAATCGCTCAACATAAAATACTAATTGCATTGATCTTTCTTATGTAGACGGGTATTGGCAGGAAGTGGAAGGAAATCATGGATGTCACTGATAAGATCACTTACAGCTTCCATGTAAGTCTTACCATAGCGTGTTTGGTGGTGTTGTACATCGTGTATCCACCCTTCTTGACTGTCTTGTTTATTGCAGGATGACTCTAGAAGGGAAAAATCAGTCAGGGGACGCTACACTGCCTGAATCTCTGCTGCCAATTCTGTTGGTGTTCCTTTAAGTGGCAGCTTCAGGACTTGGTGATAGTAATTGAATGTTATATTTATCGCATGGATGGTTTAGCAAGCACGGCATGTTTTGGAGTCTGGAGCACGCAAAACAAAAAGAAAAGGCTGGATATGCTTTAGAGATGTTTTTCCCCCATCTGGGTTTGCAATTTTGTTTTGCCTCATGAAGCTGTTTCTTCTTCATGTTGTGCTCAAGCTTATTGAAAAACAGTAGAAATGCATGTTGTTGTGAAGATTACCACATGACAAGCAATATGAATTGACTTTCCTCTTTTTGCACTTAATTATGTATTGTTCCAGCTTACCTTTCAGATCTATTGAAGTTCGTGGTTATACTGTGGTGTTTATGGGAACTCCTGCTTTTGCATGCTGTTTAACTCTAAAAACCTGAGTTACACAAACTTGAAGCATTGATCGTGTTTCTCTCTTGTTTTCTGGTACTCTCCTGGAAAAAATGTGATGCAGTTCGCGGTATTATAATTTCTAATGTTTATCTTTTTCCCCTTGTTGAGCTTAAAGAGATTTAAGATGAAATAACCTGAAATTTGATGTGAGCAAAAAGAGGGTGCATTTGGAATTCAGTGAGACAATTGAAAAACATACAGTGGTGTTCAAGCCTGAAGGTTTATCAATGAAGTAAGTAGCAAGGAGGAGATTGGGATGTTATGTAGCAAGGTCTGTCTTGAATTCATGATCGTCCGACCTTAAGATCTCTCACTAGATTGTTAAGCCAGAAGGAAAAAAAAAACTGCATTCAGTGGACTTTTTGTTCTCAATTTTAATTTGAACTTTGTAAATTTTTAGCACACTTTAGGATTTCAGCGTCAGTTTAAACAGTGTGTGATTAGTCCTGTCCACTGGCTTCTTGATATAGATTGTGTTTGGTCTCAGTTTACACGACATGGTAAAGAAAGATTAGCATTCTATTAGCTACGCAAGGAGATAAAATAGTGAGTCTCTGACTACCTGCTAGTTGTCTAGTTATTGGCCAGCAAAAATAGATTTTGATATATTTATCCACGACCCAATGAGTTTGTCTAATAATGTCGTGTCTACAACATAGAGTCTTAGCAAAACTCACTTCTAATTCTAAAGGTTCTACAAGAGCAAGGGAGCCTGAGATCTGTCAATATGCTCGGTAGAGATGAGCATATGGTCGATACAACTTGGAAATCGGCCTGGATTGTCCAGTTCCAGACTGGTTACCAAGAGAAGCGATTTGGTTCTTGGGTCTAATGTTCGACAACCGGCCTGCATCGAGTGGGGTATCGGTTCGAGCTCCAGAGCTGCTGTTTGTATATGAGAAATAAGCGACAGGCTATAGGCTGCTGTTTTGATAAAGCCAATGTGGGTACTGGAAAGGCCTGGTCTGCCCACCATCTTCTACCTGGCGGGCTTGTGCATATCTTCCTTTGCCTGCCCCATGAACAGGTTTAGACTTAATACATAGAGATATGTCACTCTCTGTGTTATTAATGGTGCATTTCTTCAACCATGACACAATTAAAGAACAAGTTAAGGTTGTTAGCAGAAATAGCAAACGATCAATAAGCTGTAAGAACGGATCTTGCATTTCGCAGGGGTACTTTTAGCGACATGTGTATTGTCTTTCTATACTGTTTGTCTCGGTAATCTTACTCGACATCTCGTCGTTATTCGTAATCAATCACTATGCTTCCTGCACGATTAGGATCAATCAGATGATGAGAAAATCAGGCAAGTATAGCACAGGTACCGAGACTAGTGATCTGAGACGAAGTTACTGGTTCGATTAGACGAATAAGGTTTAGACTTGTCATGGCTTTTCTATGCTGGATGAAACTAGGGCTTTACGAAACTCTAGCTCGGTAATAAAGCGAGGAAGGAGAGTGCTTCCAGGGTCCGAGGAGGATCCGAAACTCGACTTCCAGATCTCTAGACCCTAAAAGAGCAATTTCACTTGATCGCGAGCACTTTTCTAGCTTTCAAAGCGAATTTATTCTGCCATCGAGAGAAGTGATAGGTTACGAATAAGAACTGAATTAACTATGAGGAAGCTCGTGAGACAAAAGTATATGACTACATTACGTGGAAACTCTAGCAACCAAGCCAGAATAAAATGTATGTGGGTGGGGGGGACCAGACATATATATATTTATATGCTAATTGGACCAAAACATTTTCGTCCCATGAAATAAACAAATGCGCTGAGGATCGATCTTCGACTCGTCTTAGGCAAGGAACCCCAGCCTCTCTCCGTTCTTCTTGGCTAATCGGATCAGCCCTTGTCTTTGCTTTGCATCAGCTCCGATTGACTTGCAGAATTCTGTGATCACCTGATCATAGACAGTGTTTATGCTACAATCAGTTTTGATGTTGTGTGTATGATATGAATCAAGTGGAGTAACACCTAAATTTTCGAATTTCGGAAAAGCATAATTAAATATTTGATCATAAAGCTATGAAATGCAAGTGACATGGTACCTCCTAATTTCAAAATTCTTATTATTTGGATGTCAATAGTCAGAAAACTGCTTAACCACACACATTTTTCAGACAAATTATCCACAACTCATCTGATTTTTTTTCTCTTTTTTTGTAAACCACAAACTCATCTGTGTAAAAACAATATTTTCTTTTAATTTCAAGTATACCATTGATTAATTTTCTTTCCTACTTCTTTCAAAGGTCACACGCATTGAAAATTTAAAAGACATACAATCTTGAATCTCTATAATTTCATCTATCCCAATTGGATACAAGAACTAGAATGTTCATCCCATTCAAAACCATTATATCTCTATCTCATTCATTCATCAATACTATAACTTTCGATGGATGCCATTATAGTGAAACTATACTAAAAGAACAAAATCAATTTGCACAAAAAGCAACGGATTAATATATGAACGAACGTTAAGGTTTACGAAGACTGATTTATAAATGGTCATTTAGACGAGAATACGTGCTGGTGTACCTGCGAGTGAAGAGCAATGGCTTTGCCCCGTAGCTGGTTGAACGGCTTCTTACCGATGAGGTTCCTCGTCACCACCACGATCGGCGCGAACAGCCCCTTCCCTTCATTGACGTTCTTCATCACCGGTTGGCACCTCGCCGGCTTGCTCGCTACCTTCACTCTCACCGCGGATTTTGCCATCAGAGCATGGTGGTCCTCACCCATGATCGAACTCCCCCAGCTCCCTTGGAACGAAGACCCGAACCCGCCTTTCAAGTTTGCCGCGGAGATTGATGTCGCGGCCATTTTGACGACAGATGCAACGGCAAAATAATCAAGAACCAACCAAGATGCTCGAGCTGAAGTTGAAGCTCAAGCAGTGGGATCGACTTTGGTTGCTTCTGGTTCTGTGCAAGATTGGGGCGACTGTGTGTGGTTGAGTCTTTTGCCGAATGTTGTGCCCTTGCGAGGAGATGATATTTTGGGGTGTGGTGTGATGATGAGAGCCTCCCGTTTCTTTATGGGAGGTCAGGAAGCATCAGGAGCCACACGTTCTGGTGGCTTGGAATCTCAGGAACCACGTATGTCACTTGTACACGGTCTCTCATCTGTGCTATTTTTCTGTGGTCCCCTGATTTTTGGGAAGAAAGGAGATCTGAATCTGCAATTCTAATGGCTCCATTCTCTCCGGGGAGTATGGACCCACTTGGCCTCGCACCCCTTGGCAACTGTACGGTGCATAGCGCACAAGACGAGGGAAATTCGAGTCCGTGTCGAGCTCGTCGTGGACCATCGGGTGAATCTCAACCGTTCATTTCGTGGGTCTAAAACCGGCTGTGGATGAATTAGTCCCAAATGGATGCTCAAAGGGTGTCGGTTTATGCGGGATAATAAAGAATTCATCTGTATAGAAGTATATAAACTCATTTTACGGATTCTCAATCACGATATAGGAACTATATGGGAGCTTCAAGCTTGTTGTCGGAACACACGTATCTGATGAATTCTCAACATTCGACTGAGTTTAGCACGATAAACCTTACATCAGTACTTGTTTGATACGTTGGGGTCCAGACAAGCGTTGCCCTAAGCTCGAGAGCGTTCGAGGTCGGAAACTTCTCGGACAGGCTTGCGTTGTTTTCGTCAAACGAAACAAGGCCATTGCAAAAATGGTGACCGAATTCGACGGTGCAAATGAATTGGAGACTAGCCTGGCTTTTGACCAAGAATGTGTGTTGAGAGACACGGGGAAGGAAAAGGGAGGGAAGATGGGAAGAACCCAGTTGGAGACTTCCATCTTCCCTTCTCAATTCAAAGTTCAAACTGCCTAAAATGCATGTGAACCATGACGCGACGTGGGACACACAATTTTTGCTGGTGGGTGGCTAAGAAAGAATAGTTTGGAGAGAGCAGAGACCGACTGATGAAGAAAGATGGTGAAGTCTTGAACATGTGATGGTTCTGGTTATTTGGAAAGGTTTGAGGAACAGAGTCAAGGGTTTGCTTCTTTTCTTTGGTGGAGATTTTGGAACGCCTTCCTACTTTGTTGGAGAAATGTGACCTCGAAGTAGATGGTTTCCATTTGAATAACTAGTGAGAGAAGTTTCTAATATCAATTGCTCGAATTGATTTGGGTGATTCTTTTTCTTAGAGCAATGTTAGGTACACTAAGATTATAAGTAGACATCTAAACGAGTGAACAATATTTTCACTACCCAATAACTAATTATCACATCACTAACTAAATCAATTTTGTAAATTAAGGAGGGAAACGTGATGGAGAATTTAAGATTTTTTGTGAGAAATTAAGGACGGAAATTTTTGAATAATGGAAATTTTCTTAGGGTTTTTCTTCCCTAGGTGGATTTCGAACTCCATCTCTTCCATGGGCATGAGGTCTCAAAGCTCCATGTATAATCTTCATTGAACACTAGCCCGACTTTGAATGAACGATATATGAGTTTCAAACAAAGAAAGAAAGAACCACTAGAGAGGATTATGTCATCAGGAAAACACTTTGGCCCACGTAAGCTTATATGCCTATAAGTGATCACCGAGTTATGGTTATGCTCGTGCATAGGTCCACTATCAATCATCAAGAGGGAGTTCATATCCAAACCCATCAAAAAATCCGGTTAGACCTCTATCTTCATTTAAAAGTTCAAAGACGTCAATTATGTTGCAACTAAGTATACTAACTTCTCTAGGTATACTAATTTCTCAATATCTCGTTAGTTACATCACATGGGATTTCTTATTCACACTCTCAGGCGTGTAATCAAACAAAATCTCCTCTCTTTGCGACCCTTTTGTGTAATGGGAATGTTCCCTCTTCATTCTGCATCGACATATCTTATCTAATCTCCACTCTGTTGCTTTGCACCGCAACACTTGTTATGTAATCAAGACGAACCGTTTTGATATCAAGATCGAGCTCAACTCAAAATCAAATGACTCAAAGTGGAGCAATCATCGATCAAAGTTTGAGCTACTTGCGAGTAGCTCGACTCAATTTCACTTCTAGTCACACTTGGACTAGCCTGTGGTGGCACACCAAATCTGGGAACTGGTTGCTCTAGCACTGCTCTCCTTCACTCTTGACCTCTTTTGTCGGACCAATCGTGATAGCCATGTGCTCCTGAAAACCATACGGGATCACGGGATTTGGGACGGCTCACGTTGTTGGTCGAAGGATTTACAATTGATGTCATCTAATACACATTCTAGCCCAGCCTATAGAGACTAAAACCAGTACTGAATAAGAAACTCCCATAAGAAAATGAACTATTAGAGATATTTAAAATATTTCCTTGGTTTTTCATATCTTTGGTGATTGTACATATATGTAGGAGATTTTCCATATCTCTTTTTAATTGTGTATATATATATATATATATGTATATGTTAATTAGATAGTTATATAATAAAGCTTATAAATAGGCTCGTGTATTCTTTATTAGAATATCAAAATATATAAAAATTTCACATTTTCTCCCTTTGCATATTTCTTATCTTAGTATCAGGGCTACACGACCTTGAGGTGCATTGGGTGAACGTTGCACTAAGTGCACACTTGAGTGCGCATCACTTATCTTGAATCCTTTCTTTTTCAGCAACTACTAATATCAATGTCTCAACTTTGATTTTCAATATTGCCCGTCTCGTTTGAAGCAGCCTATTGAGTGACGCAAACTACTGCCACATAGTCTGCATAGCAACTGTGACAACACATAACAGTCATGTAAGTAGCGACGTTAACATCCGCAGGTTCTCTCTAGCACACCGAATCGCTTCAACAATACACCCAAGCATTTTTAGGATCTTACTCAAGTAGACTTCTTCCACCTCACCTTGAGTTTGAGGAGATGTTAAAGATATTTAGGATATGTCCTAGAGATATTTATAATATTTCCCTTGATTTTCCATGTTTCTTGTGATGGTACGTATATCTAGGAGATTCTTCATATTTCCTTTTGATTGTGCATATCCTTAATTGATATGTTACTTATATAGTTATCTAATAAAGATTATCAATAGCATCATGTACTCTTTATCAGAATACAACAAAATATATAGAAATTTCACATTTTCGCTCTTCCGCATATTTCTAATTTTGGACAATCTAAGTCTGTCTATAGAATTTAGAATACCTAAGCTCGAATCAATTTCATATACCTAGTTTTGGCCGGCCACTATCTTTGAGCCAATCAATAAGGATAGCTGTACGAATTGAAGATTAGGTCTTCCTCTCCTCCTCTTCCTTATATGGTTTTATGTTAAACCGATAAATTTATTTAGAATAAGGAGTGGAGAGGGGACCATAGTCTATTTATAGTATGCATTCTAACATGCCCATTTATCATGTGTTATTGTTTAAATGCAGGCCTATACCAATCATCCATTTAATTACTGAGCCGAGATATGGTGAGCCTAATATAATATGAGTTGTGGCTACTTTTATCACTCGTGAAAGTTTTTTTGTGGGAGTTATGCTGCAGCTAGACAACGTAATACGCGCCGTTTAGAAGTTTACTCACAACTCGAATAAATCTCGTGACCTCGTGGAAGAATGATGACCTCTTTACTACTAAAATAATTAACTTGCTGGTTTGTCTCATATATTTTAATTATTTTATGTAAGTCTATCTTTTTAAAAACTGAAAATATTATGAGATTAATGTTTGCCCACATTTATAAAAATTTCCAACATACTCCCACTTGGACAACAATAATCGGCAGGGCATTTCCAAAAGATTATGTTTTATAAAACAACTTGTGTCACGAACAAATTTCTCCCTTGAACCCTTGCGAGCTGAAGTGTGGAGGTATGTGTATCAAGGTAAAGAGTAAGTGATAAATAAATGATGATACAACTGATTCATAGGAGTGACATCATGGCGTTTGTGCTAGGTATTATAGGATAGAACTATTATAACAATGAGGAGCCTTGAAGGCGGGATTGACCTCCTATGCACAAATTAGTCGGGAGCTGATGTCCCTGTTGGATGTTTGTTTGTAAAACAAAAAAACAATGCTTTTTCCTTTGTCCCACGTAGGAAAGTTTTGGGTAAGTTGGCCATTTTATAACTGTGAGTGTCTTCTTACTCCTTAGAGTGAAGACAATGGGGTGTGTGCTAGTCCACACAATACCTGCGTGCGGGTGCGCGAATAATTGCGCGATTATTAGGCGCACTTAGCACTTTGCACGCTTGCGCGGCCGCGGTTTAATTAGCTCTAATCCCTTTATTTTTTATTTTATTAGTTGAAAGGTTGTTTTTTGTTTATTAAATAATTTTCGAAAGTATGAAAATTCGGAATTTTATTTATATATATTTTATTTTATTTTATTCCAAATTTTACATGTGTCTTTTCAAGACAACTTTTGGAGATTATACTTGTTCAGTTTTCAACCTTTTCCGAAGGGTTGCATTTGTTCAGTTTGCAACTTCTTCCGAAGGAATATCTTTGTTAGCTTTGCAACCTTTCGTGAAGAGTTGCCTATGAAGACCGATTTCTATATATGTCAGTTTTTGGTAAGAAGGAAAATCATTCAATTTTTCAAGTCTTCTTTCGAAAAACTACAGCCATCATTTTCAATTGTTTCCTAGAGAGATCCTGGAGAAATACTAGAATTGCTATATAGTATTCTCATTTTGAGACTTTGTTGTATCCTGGAGGATTTTTGCCAGTGACCATTAGCAACAATTGTGGGGCAAATAAATCCTTAAGGAAAGTGATATCACGCCACAAAGTCTGACTTGATTGCTCTCTTGATTCGAAGCCATTCAAATTTTACAACAGTCCCTCTCTCGATGAGGCCATGATCGGATGAAACCAGTTATTGTAGCGAAGTGATTTGTATGTCTCACTCAAGCGAATGAATGCTCGAGCTAAACTAGGCATGGTATGATCTGGGTGAGGATATGATTCAACATAATGTTTTAATGAACAATCTTTAGAAGGAAGGCTGGCCTGGTGTTTTCGACTCACTAGGCGCCGCA